GCCCCTGGCGACCACTGGCCTGCCTCTCTAGACTTGGCTGCTCTGGACCCAGCTTAGACACAGAGTCACACTGCACACGTGCCTCCTGTGGCCGGGATTACACTTACATGGTTAGGATTATACTTGTGCAGTTCCTTTAGCAAGGAATGCTGGGATTTGATTTACATTTGTCATGCACCTTCTTTTAATTTTTGCAGTGCTGGGGATGGAACCCAGGGCCTTGAGCACACTCTGACCCTGAGCTACATCCCCAGCCTGTGATGAAGTTTTTCTGAAGTGCATTTCCTTCAACTACTCATACTTTTCCACATAAGTGAACGATCATCTGCTCACGCTCCTGTTGTCCCTGCCAGGTGGGTATGCATGAGACATTTGGAAAATGGGTCTTCGTATGCTGCCCTGAGGGTCCTCTGACCCTGAGCCTCCCCCTCCTTCTTCTCTCCAGCAGGCGCCCTGTCTCTTACTCCTTTCTTGGTCCGCCATGGCCCTGACTGTCCTCAAAGTTGCCACTGCAGTGTGGAAAGGCCAGAGCAAAGTCTGCAGGCAGCAGCCAGTCCCTCCTGTCAACAAACTCCTGGGGACAGCTGTGGGCTCGCTTCTCCCCCTGTTTTGTCCGGAAGTAGCATCTATGACGAGTTTAATTATGCAATTAAAGTCATTTTCCTGGGCTGAACAAATATTTACAGCATATTTTGCTGTAAATTGCTACGCCTGGAGATGAGTTCTGCCGCTCAGGCAGGCAAACACTCGCACATTTACATATCCCATTACCAGGGGACCTGCGGCCAAGCCCGGCTGAGGGACCTGAGGCTGCGTGCATCAGCCCCATGACACTGGCAGGTGTCAGCCAGGCAAATGTGTTCCGCCCCTTGCTGGTGCTACTGCGGACCCGGTGATGCCTGCTGCTCCTTCCTGGTGGCCCCAGGTCCCAGCTCTGCACATCAGAGAAATTTCTGAGCTGTGTCCTGCTGACCCAAGGCCCAGAGAGCAGAGAAAACACGGTGTGTGCAGACAGTTCTGGAATAATCCACCTGCGTGGGCTGCGAGCTGACCACTCTGCCTGTCATCTGTACAGTGGTCCTAAGGGGGTTCTGCTGAGACCCTGTGTTTGGAGCCTTTCCCAAGGACCCCCACCGTGCCCCCCTCCCCGGCTGAGCAGGGGCAGGAAAACTCTAGGCAAAACCAGGATATTAGAAAAAGCTCATCTGCATCATTTTACTTCAGCTAAAACATGTCTCTGTCTCAAATTCCCTTTTCTCCCAGTGGAAAAATTGTATCTCCATCCATGGGGACCGCCAGTCAACTTGGGGTACTCTCAGTCCAAGAGCATCCCCTGCCCCTGATTGCTGCAAAGTTGGGGAGCGGGCGAAATGGCAAGGCACAGGGTGGGAGGGGATAAGAGGGAATCCCATGTCTGCCATGGGCTGGGGTGGGAGCCCCTCTGCTGTGGGGAGAGCTGGGGCTGGGTGGAAGGCTGGAGGCTTAGCCGGGGTTCAGGGAGGCTGCTGTTCACCAGCCGGGTGCGGGTATTTCCGCTTCCCAACCTCCAGCTCGGCTATGCTGGGTGTCCTGCTGGGCTGGATGCGGGGCCGTTGGTCTTGGTGTGTGCACGACCTCATCCTCACACCAGGTCTGTCTAGGTCCCCCCATCACTCAGGCACTGAAAAAGCCCTGCAGGAAAGACACGCGAGCTGAACAAAATGGTGACAGCATAGATAACACCGACACGTCCCCCACGCAACCCAGGCTCCAGCTGCCTGGAAGGGTTCTGGCCGGAGGGAATTAGCTTAAAGGACCTGTGGTCCCAAATCACCACCATTACTGTTTTATGATGTATTTTTTAGCTTTTTCCTAGACATAGATGTACCAATATTCGCCCCACTTCCATCTTCTGCTTGTACCAGTGATGGTAGGTGGCAAAGGCGTGACAGTAAATTGCCTTCCCAGACCATCTGAAGTGGCCATCTAGTTGTCTATTCCGGGAAACGACAGTTTTGTTAAGGAAGTACCTGTGCCCAAGGGTTTAGGTTTGGTCCTAATTTTTGGCCATGATAAATGGCTCGTAATGAACACTTTCGCCTTTTGCTCGGCCCATTTTCTCTTGGGACACATTTCCTGGAGGTAGAATGACGGGACCCAAACTCAAGACCTTTTGCTAAAATCTTTGAGAAGGCGGGAGGTGGTTGATTGGTTAGGGGTCACTAGGCCAGGGGAAATGCCCTCGTTGTCCCTGGCTGGCTCTGCTCTCTGGCACCTCGTCCTGAAATGCAGAACAGCTGTAGGATCAGGGCTGGAGGGCAGCGCTGGCCACCAGTGCCTCAGCTGCCATAGGTTCTGTCCCTGATGCAGCTCCCCCACAGCCACAAGAGGCCTAGAATAAAACAAAAATGGGGATCACTGCCCTCCTGGGGCCCTGCTGTGTATACCACACCCTCTTGCATCCTCGCATTTGATCTTTTCAACAGCCCCCCGTGGAGGTACAGGTAGTCTTGTGCCCATTTTACAGCTGACGAAAACAAGGCTCAGATTTTGGTGCACCGGCCAGGGGCACAGTGAGTGGAGAGGTGAGGCTGAGCTATTTCACTGCTCCCTCCCGGGACCCCAGAGTATTACTGTCCCTGGGGCACAGGTGACAAGAGGAGGCCCTGCCGGCCAGGGGAAAGGGAGGTGGTGTCGCAGGCTGCCAGTGTTGCTCTCCCAGGAGAGGAAGGAGGGTAGGAGGGAGGAAGCAGGCGGCCAGTCCTTGGTGGTAGGTGGCCTCCTGGCAGGGTCTTGGCTGTACAGTTGTGTCACTGCCTCGTGACATCCAGAGGGGTGCATTTGGATTAGGTCCAGGCCAAGGAGAGAGGGAGAGAGGAGAAGAGAGAGGACCGCTGTCCGGCCGGTGTTGGTGTGGTCCTGCCGTGCTCTTCCCTTTCACCCAGATTCCAGTGCAGCGCTAGAGACTCTCGGAGGTCAGGGGCAGGCGAAGATGGCGGGCCTGGGGCTGGTTCTCAGGCCCACATGGCCTTGTGGAGTTGGCTGAGTAGGGATGGGGGGGCGGGGCTCAGATGTGCTCTGCATCCCAACCCCGCCTCTAGGGACAGCCACCCACCCTCTCAGCCTCCTGCTCTATCCATCTTCCCCCTGCCGATATGGCCCGAGGACTCTGAAGGACGAGGTCACAGTTTCCTGGTGGTAATTGCCACAGGTCCCAGCATGGAAACCAAGACGTGGAGACAGAGGGAAAGCTCAAGAGGTATGGTTCAGGGAAACTGAGTCAGGGGCCATTGACAAGTGATGAGTCCTTGCGGCCCCCTGAAAACTCTTATTGTGTTTAAGTCACCTCCCCCAGGCTTCCAGGGCCTGGTGGCAATGTGGTCACACACCATGCTGCTGGGGACAGGAGTGGACAGCTGGCCAGTGCTGTGGAAGGACACGAGGTATTCCCAGAAGGTTTGGTTGCGGAGGGAATGGGGCCCGCAGAAGGCCCAGAGGAGGACTTCTCGCACAGGGCATCATTTCAACAAATCACAACCTGGCGGCCCCTTTTGGGGTCCAGGGAACTGCCCCACGGTCCCCTGGCGTGGAGAGATAGAGGCCCAGGGCCGGGGGCCTGTGGTCTGCCTCCACCTCAGCCTCCAGGGAACAGCTCCTCCTTTGTCTCATTCACTGTGTGATTTTGGAGTCAAAGATGCCAAGAAAATGCTCCACAGTGAGAAGAAATGCGTTTGCAAGCCACTGCCTTAATATTGAATTCATCATACCAGGTTTTTTTCCTTTGGTACCAGAGATCGAACTCGGGTCCCTGTGCTTATGCAGCAGGTGGCGAAACCACTGAGCTAAACCCCTGGCCCCATCTTAGTATTGAGTTGACATTGAAGTCCATTGAGTGGTTTCTTTCCAGTCGGTGGTTTTGGTCTTACATGTGCCAGCGGTAAGGAGCTGGGTCTGTCTCCACTCTTGGAGAAGGGAACGCTGGCTACTTCCTAGACCTGGTGGTCACCCCTGACCTGTGTCCCCACCTATAAAGCTGAAGTGATCTTGACTTCACGTTCCACGTGGACAAGCAAAACAGGGAAGAAAGTGGAGAAGAAAGAAGAAGTCTGGGAGGTGGCAAAGGGAGGAAAATGAGTGTCCCGATGAAAGTGGGAGCCAGCCGCTTGCTTGGGTGTGGTGAAAGGCAAGGCTGATTTCACAGCGCAGCGGGGCCCAGAAAGGAAAGGCAGCTGGAGGGCGCAGTGCTTATCTGCAGAGCTGGGATGATAAGGAGGCTATGGTTTGTTTGCTCTGTTCTGGAATAGCCAATAAATGCTGGGAGCAGAGATCTGGCAAGGGCTGCAGGTAGCCCTGGGCCAGGTCACACTACCTGCCTCCTCCGGCAGTACTGTGCAGCTGCCTGCTCAGTACCCAGAAGAGCTCAGTTGATGCTCGTACAACAGGTGCCTGGCTTTTCCTTCTGAAGAATGTTTTTGTAGCTGGGTACAGTGGCACCTACCTATAATCCCAGCACTGAAGGAGGCTAAAGCAGGAAGATCACAAGTCCAAGTCCCAGATGGGCAAAGTAACAACTTAGCAAGATCCTGTCTCAAAATAAAAAATAAAAAAGGGTTGGGGATGTGGCTCAATGCAAAGGCCCTGGGTTCAGTCACCAGTACTTAAAAAAAAAAAACTGACAAATCAAAACAAAAATGCTTTTCTCCCCACCCTCTGTGCTTTATTTATGACAGATGAAAACAGTGTTACTCAAAAAAAAAAAAAAAAAAAAGGATTAAGAGGCAATAGCCTGTGAACTGCACACAATGCAATTCTTGGGGAAGGCTGAGCCCCCAGACCCAAAGTTTTATCAAAAAGCCCATTGTAAACACTCCCTCCAGTCCAGCTGTGTACCCGGCAGCTGCAAGGCTGCAGAATTGCCAAAGGACGCCAACTAGTGGTGCCAGCTGATTCAGCGAACTCAAGGTGCCCAAGCAGAGCCCTCTTTGGCTGATTCAGGAAAAATCAAGCAATCCAAGCCCATCTTTTTTCTATAAAAGTTTATTTTGTAATTTTTTTTTCCCAAGAAGTGACAAAGGGAGCAAATTGCAGTTATGTAAAGGTAAGGAAAGTATGGTATATAAAAATAATTTAAACACACATTTTAGTAACAAAGCAACATTTCTTTCTAGTAATAATCTTGCCCAAGATTTTTCCAAAGGTTTTAAATATATTTTAGACAACCATGCATACAGACAGACACATACACACACACACGGACACACAGCTCAAGTATTGTTTCTGTGCAATCTAGCTAACCAATATAGCTAAAGTGAAAAAACTGGAACACTAAATGCCTGAGTAACTTAAGCAGAATATGCACTGCCTGTGAATTTTGGAGACATGCAAAGATTCCCTTCCCCATCTCATTAGTTACTAGCTCATTGTCTGTGGTTCTCATCTGATGGATTAAGTGCACCTCTCTGATCTGCTCAACGGTGTGGTCATTGTGCTGCAGCTGGTGTGGATTCGGGAAGACTCGATTTCTCTCACTCTGAGTACACCCCACAGATGGGGAAGGGTGTTTCTAAAGGGGAGGCCCTAGGCTTTGACTACATCTGGCTGATTCTTTGCTTCAGAGCAAGGACCTCCCTCTCGATTTCATAGGGGAGGTCAGCATTGACTTGATCTTCCAGATATTTCTCAATGTCTTCTACCTCTTTCTCCCAGAACTCTTTGGAGATGCTGAAGAGCTCCTCTACGTTGACATTCCCCAGGCCTTTCAGGTTCAGGGCATCCTTCTTGGGGACATAGCCAATGGGTGTGAGCTGGGCGCTGTCTTCCCCGTTGATCCGGTTGAACATCCACTCCAGCACCCTGGAGTTCTCTCCGAAGCCTGGCCAGAGGAATTTGCCTTCCTTGTCCTTACGGAACCAGTTGACATGGAAGATCCTGGGCAGCTTGGCTGCTGGGCGGTGAGCCATGCTCAGCCAGTGGGCCAGATATCTACCAAAGTTGTAGCCAAAGAAGGGCCGCATAGCAAAAGGGTCATGCATGATGACTTTGCCTATTGAATAGAGGGGGGGATTCATTGGTAAATAATGTGCCCAAAGGAAATATGGCCATCATTTACTCTAGTTCTCTCTCTCTCTCTCTCTCTCTCTCTCTCTCCCTCTCTCTCTCCACACACACACAGAGACCCAAAAATCACCCTTCTTTGTAGTTTCAGGTCCTGACTTCGATTTACCTTTGTGCTCTGCAGCTGCAGTGGCCTCCGATCTCATGGCTGCCCCCACAAACACACCATGCTGCCAGCTGAGAGCTTCATAGACAAGAGGGACACCTTTCGTAGGAAAAAAAGAAATGTTCCTTAAAGACTATGACATTCTGACTCTAGGACTGGTGATGTCTTTCACCTGCATCTTTTTAATTGAGCTGATTTTGCATTTGCAAAGGTAACATGCAGAAAACCTAAGTCAAAGTTACACCCTGAAGGCTGTGAAGCAGAAGGTGAAATTGGACCAAGCTATCTTAGATCAGAGATCTAGAAAGGCTCTAGGTGACCAGAAAGGTTGGTTCTATATTTGAGTTTGCCAATTATTCCAGAGTTGGGGAAAGGAAGATCTCTGGCACCCCTTGCCAAGGTCGCAGAAAAGGAGAGATTGTCAGATGGGCCTGGTTGCCAACCCTCCACAGCCCAGCCCAAATGGGGGAAAGCCTCACCAGCAGGTCTGCGGCCTCCAAAGATGATGCCCTGGATGGGCACGCCTTCCGGAGACTCCCAGGCAGGATCAATGATGGGGCACTGGCTCGCAGGGGTACAGAATCGCGAGTTGGGGTGGGCACAAGGTTCCCCTACAGCACGAGAGGAACAGGCCCCTTAGCATCCGGCCCAACAGGTGGCACCTGCAGCCCAGATCTGTGGCCTCCAGAGGGGACTCACCATCCATTGGGCTCCATTCTTTGTTCTTCCAGGAAGTGATTGTGATGCCTGGGGCCAGCGGCTCATCGATGCCTTCCCAGTAAATGCCGCCCTCGCTGGTCTCGGCCACGTTGGTGAAGATGGTGTTCTTCCGGATAGTCTTGATGGCATTGGGGTTCGTCTTCACTGAGGTGCCAGGAGCCACACCAAAAAAACCGTTTTCTGGGTTGATGGCCCTTAAGTTACCTGGAAAGTTGTAAACCAAAACATGCCATAAGTTCTTAGATCTTGTTGAGCTAGTTTGGGTGCCAAATTCTCAAACCACCTTTTTTCCCTCTGTAGACTGTACATCTATCTTTTTTTCATCAAGCATCGTAATCAACTCTAAGACATTTTATAACTCATTCTTCTTTTTCAACTTTAAGAAATCTATAGATGTGAACAAACAGCAACACACACCCTCACTTCAATACAGACAAATACTGTTACAGAGTGCTCACAGTGTGCATATGCCTAAGGTTTGCAAACTCTGAATTAGCACCCGGCACCAAGGGTTTGGAAAGTGGCACGTGAGAAGGTCCACAACCCACTGTCGTCTAACGATTATCAGCATTTGAGCGTCAAAGAGTCACCTTGGGCATCAAATTTCATCCAGGCAATGTCGTCACCTACACACTCAATTTTCCACCCCGGGAGCGTGGGGTTCATCATGGCTAGGTTGGTCTTCCCGCAGGCGCTGGGGAAAGCTGCTGCCAGGTACTTCTTCTCTCCCATGGGGTTGGTGATACCCAGAATCTGTGGACACAAGCTTTCTCATTACACTATGGAACTCCAAAAAGGCAGGTCCTCAGCATCTATTTCTTTGGCAAGCAGGACAAACATGTTCAAAAATGAAGAATCTCTATTGTCGCTACTGTGTTTGGAGCCCTTGGAAGGGCCATCTGCTGGGGCATTTGTAGTTAGGAATTTCCTAATCTGCCCAGCAAGTTACACACAAGGGGAACTGTCACAGGCTCCTAGATGCCACCCGATCCCCCACCGCGCACCTATGGGGGTCCCACATGCGTACCAGCATGTGCTCCGCCAGCCACCCCTCCTCCTTGGCCAGCCGGCTGGCTATCCTGAGTGCAAAGCACTTCTTCCCAAGCAGCGAGTTCCCGCCATAGCCACTTCCGAAGGAGACAATTTCCCTGCGGTCGGGCAGGTGGGCGATGAGCATCAGGTCTGGGTTGCAGGCCCAGCTGTTGACCAGAGGCTCTGTAAACAGGGGTGCAGCCCTCATTAGTGAGCCCTGCATGGCCCTGCTTGGAGAACGGCACCCCCACCACACACACAGAAGCTAACTTCTTTTTTTTTTTTTTTGGTACCGGGGATCGAACTTGGGATCTTGTGCTTGCGCAGCAGGCACAGGAACCACTGAGCTAAATCCCCGGCCCAGAAGCTAACTTCTTTATCAGCTTTCCAGTTTGGAATAATGCACTCACTTTTTAAAGGCAAAGGGCAGCCCACGGAATGCAGACACTTGATGAACTCGCCGTCCCCAAGGGCCTGCAGGACGGCTGTGCCCATTCGGGTCATGATCCGCATGCTGGCCACCACGTAGGGCGAGTCGGTGAGCTCGATGCCGAGCTTGGACAGTGGCGAGCCCAGGGGCCCCATGCTGAATGGGATGACATACATGGTGCGACCTGTGGAGGAGGACAGCGGAGCAGCTGAGAAACAGCCTTGGCCACACGTGCAACAGCCCTGGTTTTCCTTGGGGACGCCCTGTCACGTCCCCAATATCCACACCATGCTCAGCGTGGGAACAAATCGCCCAAATAGAAGCGTTTTCATAAATGTGCAACTGGGTTCTACCAAGGTATTTAAAATCCATGCACACAGAGACCATTTCAGTGCTCACGTAAGACTGTCTGGAAAACCAGAGCCAAATGTACCTTTTCACATACAGAAATGAAGGACACCTGAGGCCATGACTGTGATGATTCCCACTAGGACAGACTCGGAATGACACTTGGCCCAGCCAGGTGACCCCCACTCACCTTTCATGCACCCTGGGAACCTGGCATTGAACGCTTTCTCGAAGTCCTCTTCTGACATCCAGCGACCCAGCTGGCTGAGGCCGGTCCGGGGGATGGGCACTGTGTCTCTCTGCTCTTGGGTGATGATCACGGTCTTGCTTTCTATCCTGGCCACGTCCCTGGGGTCAGTGAGTGCCAACCAACTGCAAAAATCATACGGTTCCCTTCAGCCGGGAGTCACTGGGAATGGACCGCTCTCCTTCATTGTGCCTAGCAGGAGATGCAGCAAAACTGCCAAGGGGAAGCCAACTGGGGCATGGCCAGGTAGTTAACAGACCAGGAACAGGCCTGGGGGACGAGGACTCTTGCCTTTGTGCCAGGAATAAAGTTTGCAAAGAGCAGCCCGTTTATAGTATGGGTGACTCTACGAATGTCGTAGGGTCTCTGTGGTTCTGACATCTGATGAAGTTTTTAAAGAGTTTCCCCAGCGAGCAAACACACACACAAGGTCTCCATTCACCTCCAACCCCGGAACAGGAGGGTGGCAAAGGAGCTTACCAATTGTCATACTTCTTCAGCTTCCTGATGACGCCGTCTTCCTGCATGCGGGCCAGCAGCTGCCCATTCTCCTCCTCCGAGCCATCGCAGATATGGATGTGATCCGGCTGGCACAGCTGCACACTGCTCTCCACAAACTCCCTCACTGCCTGGGGCAGGCTGTCCAGGCTGCCTTGCACGACTTTGGCGGAGAAGTCCTGGCCATTGTGCAGCTGAGGAGGCATCTCTGCAGACGTGTATTAAAGGCTACCAATGCCGAGGTCACCTGAAACAGAAACCGCAAGTTTCCTGAGCAAAAATACCCATGGGCACCTCATCAGTACATTCAACAGACTTTGTCTGGGCTGCACGTGGCCAGGCGGTTATCTGCTTTAAGGAAAAAAAATACAGTGAGTTCACATTGTCACTGGAATTTTTAGAAATGTGAATAAAAAGCTTCTACCTGATTTCTCCCGTTTGGATGATCTTGAGAGATCCGAGGGTGCTTTCCCGTTCTTCCTGCCGGCGAGTGGGTGTTCCCAGTGGGAAGGCCGTGTTTGGAGGCAGAGCCTCCTGGCTTTAAGTACCGTGGAGGAGGACGGCCCTGTCCTGGGCTGCCCAGGGAGGCTCGTCTCTGACGTCAGGGCAGCTCCTGGATCCGGGCCATGGTCAGTTATGTTTTGGACCAACTCACCACAATAAACTCCAGAGAGATAATCATTGAACAGATAGTTGTTAATGAATGTTGGGAGGCCTCAGGCCCCAAAAACAACCATAGTGAGAGCTTACACAACTTTTGATTGGCTAAACTTTGACTCCATTCACTGCTGATGCAAAACGTGCACCCTCTCCTTGACAGGCAGTGAGGGTCAAGGACAGGTCTGGCCAGGGCACCTTCTGGACTTCAAATGTTGTTGGCAGCACATTTTGTGTGCCAACAGCCACTGTTTGACAAAACACAACAGTTGTGAGGTGTCACCCAACAGTCAAAGTTCATAAGAAGAATACACCTACCTCGGGCTAATGTGCAGCTTATTTGCAAAGATCTATAGCATCTGAGTGAATAGAGAGCTAATAACCTTGTTGAATGCCTGCTGTGTACTCTGGCTGGCCCCCCAAAATAAATTCCATGAGGGTAGGGGGCTCTGCCTATTTTTCTCATGTTCATATCTGCAAAGTGTGGCACACAGTGGGCACTGAATGCTCGTGTATCAAACTGTTTCCTAAAAGCTCTGTATCAACTAACTCATTGCCATATCTGAAGGAGAGGCTCTCACCCACCCTGTATATACATGAGGAAACTGAGGCAAGGGGACCAAGTGGAGGTGGGAGGTAGAGGGTGTATATGAACACAAGCCAGCCATTGTGAGGTCCCATTACCTTTTCTAGAATCTTCTCTAAGGGCCAGGGATTTAGCTCAGTGGTTCCACCGCCTGCCTTGCAAGTGGAAGGTCCCAAGTTCGATCCCTGGTCCCAAAAAAAACAACAACAAAAAAAATCAAGAACAACAAAAGAACAAAGTCCTAGACTAGAATCTTCTTTATATCCTCAAGATGTTCTGAACTCAGCACAGGTGGACCTGCAGCTGGCTGGATGCTTTTTTGCTTCCCTTGCGAGTCTGAAAGTCCGGGGTGTGGAGGGGGCTTGGTGGTTTTACTAGATTACACTTAAGCAATAAGACCTTTATAACAGTTGTAAAGAATTTGCTTTGCAAGCTGCCAGAGCGTCAATTCAATTTAATGACTCTCAAGGCGGCGTGCTGGGGTTGAGAGAGTACTGGGTGAGAAGTCAGGAGCAGGGCCAGCTTCTAGCCCCAAGTCCCCAGGCCCAGCCTAACAGTCCTGGGGAGCCCTTACCTCAAAAGAGGTAGAGTGGGGGTCTGGTCTACCTCCCTAGGGGTGGGGGATGAACCGATGAGTTAATTTCTTGCCTGTGTCTGCAATCAGCCAGGGCAAATCCAAGGCCCTGCAAATGGTCATCTCAAATCGGGAGTTTGGTTCACCCGGGCAACTACATATGCATGGAAGCATGGTCTCTTCTGCTGACAGTCATTATCATCCTGTTGCTAGGGTTCACTTCTTCCAGTTCTTATTCAAACAATCGGGTCTTTCGGTGTAAATACAACAGGAGATGCTTTGTTTGGTTTAGGGTTATTTCCCCTCCAAGTCACTGGAATTCATTATCAGTGGTGCCCCGCCTGCCATATCTAAATTCTCGTCACTTCTAAACGCAGCGGTGATGTCATGTAGCTTCCTAGCACCCAACACCTGCGAACTCAGCCATGGGAAAGTAAACCTGTGAATACCCAACACACATCTTCACACTAGTGCGGTTCACCTCGACAGACTGGCAGAGTCCTATTCTGCAGATGAAACTGCCCTAAGTTCAATTCCTTGGAAGAGCACATAGATCGGAAACAAAAACGAGAAGCCGGAACTTAGCTAGACTTCTAAATGCTCCACATAAATTTGAGGTGTTTATGTTGTGAGTCTTCTGGGAGGAAAACAGCTTGTTCAATTAACATGTAACACAATGAGTCACCACCGACCTTCGCCCCCTGGGTTAATTACCCACATTTACCATGGGGAGGGACACCATGATTCCCGGTCTTCAAGGTGTTAAAAAGCTAATTCTGGGCTGCAAAGTGTGGAGTTCTCTAGAAGAATCCAGAGAAGCAAAGACTCAAGAAGGTGGGGCCTTGAGATCAAAGTGTGGGCAAAGTTTCCTCACCCCTCACTGATGTCACCGTGGGCCGCTCTGTACTGTCCCTGTCCCCGGAGGCCTGCACAACATTCCCCCGCGGCTGCCAGAGGCGTCCTCCTCTTCCAGCTTGATCCTCAGCTTAGTGGTAAGGACGTCCCCAGTTAAGTCCTCCTTGGTGATTTCAAGCTCAAGGACCAAACAAATTGCTGTCCTGCTGGGCGAGGAAAGTCCCCACCCCAGGGATCCTTGGTGGACAGTAAGGGTTGTTCAGGCTACCAGGCAGGGTGGGTGGGGCCCTTCTGGGTGTCAATTTCCCCTGTGACTTCTGGGGCAAACACCACAGAGAACCTCTGGCTGTATCAGGGATACTTGGGCTGCGTTTCCTTTGGCCCGAGGCTGTTCTTCACAAAATATAAAAAGTTAAGCCCAGATACAAAACTCCTTTGAGGAAAAGGATAAGAAACATCAGCCTTAAAATGATAGTTTTAAAACTAGTACTGGCTTTTTCCTCCACTTCCTGAGGCTGAAATACATTTCTGTCGGTCAGCTATAGCCACACTTGCCATGGCCACAGCAGCTGTGTCCTCCATCCACGATAAGCAGACAGGTTTAAAAAGGTAAAGAGGTGTTTTGATTTGCTACAATTGCATTTTCTCTAGGAATCCTCAGAGTAAACTTGTTAAGTGTCTGCTAGGGCTCTAGCACTGGGGGTAAATTTTTTATAACAATGGGTTGTCTCTGCATCCCAGAAGTGGAAAATATTACAGAATTTTCTCTGAAAGAAGTCTTTTTTTACTTTTCCCAGTTTTAAGATGAGGAAACCAGAGGCTTGGGAAAGGAATTGCACACATTCACTCAGCAAAGTTGACCGAGAAATTACTTTTGCCGTTGCATAGGCATTTCCCAGATATGTCCCCAAATTGTGAGCTGTGACCCTCTTTTCCTCTGTATCCCATGTCCTCAAGCACACCCTGAGCATCTACTGCACACTCATCCCCAGGGCCAGCTCCACGGGGCCGTGGCCATGCCCCACCCTTGGAAAGGGACCCTCTTTTAGGGTTTCCTCCCATGCTCCCTGTCTCAGTCCCTGGTGACACCATCTGTGAGTGTGTGGCATGAAGTAGAAGGGACTGTGGGCCTCGGCTCCTGCAGCCTCTGCCTCCCACTGCCTCTCTGCCTCCTCAGGACGGGGTCCTGGCCACCTGCTTCCGTCACACCCTGTTGGATGACCACCGCCACCCTCTCCGTCTGACAAGAGCCTGGACTTCAGTGCAGGGGGTCAGGCGGGGTGTGCACTGACAGCATCTGTGATGACTTTTTCGAGTAGCCCTGTGCCGAGGGAGAGGACATCAGCCAGCAAAAGCCACCTCGAGGGTGGAGGGACCACTGGAGGCCGGAGAATGGTTTCTGTGCTTTTTGAACAAGAGGCCCAGCATTTTCTTTTTCTTTTTTTGGTACCAGGGATAGAACTTGGGTCCTTGCGCTTGCGCAGCAGGAGGTAAAACCACTGAGCTACATCCCCGGCTCCCCCTCCAGCATTTTCATTTTGCCCTGGGCCCCAAGAATTATGCTACCCCCCCCCAGAACACCGTGGTTTGGAGTACATAAGAAACATTTCCCTCAAGGACCCGAGGTCAAGCTGGTGAGATATTTGGATGCTAGGCTATCCTGCAGACCATCCAGCCCACGGGATGGGCCAGGCCCGGGCGAGGTGGAGGCACGAAACCCAGTCACCAGGTCCACAGCCGGCCTCCGTGGGAGGGTCGGGTGTCACATTTCACTGTCTAGACTCTGATCGGTAGAGACGGCAGATGTTAGCTTAGAGCTCTGAGGTCAGTGAGGGCCTTCTCTGGTCTGTTTTCACATGTCACTGCATTCAAGAGTGCAAGGGGACTTTCAAACTCAGGCCCCTTGAGTCCCACGCCAGCCCACTGCTCCCGGACTACTGAGCACACAGCAGAGAGGAAGCAGCTGCCTGCAGGGATGGGCCTGGCTGTCACCTGTCCAGGCTGCAGCCAATCGTTTCTCCAAACAGGCTGCGACAGGAGACCTGGATAGTGGGTGAGCAAGACTTGGAGAAGCCTTCAGAATACTTGTGCAGGATGGAGATGTCAGGAAGTCAGTGTGACAGGGGGCCGGAACTCGGCGCCTCACAGCAGAGAACCCAGGCAACAGTCTGGAGTTAGCTGCCATAGGCCCGTAGCAGAACCGCCATTCCAAAGGGTTTCATTGTCAGGGACAGGGGGCCACACCCAGTGCAGAGCATCAGGGTCGCCAGAGAATCCACTAGGCTCCCTCAGAGAGGAGAGGGCAAGGCCCTGTGAGATGTGCTCGGAGCCCCCTCACTCACGGCAGTTCTGATTTACCAGTGGACAATTTAGGCTTCTGTGTTGGGATCTTTGTACAGGAATTTCACAGCCAGAAAATACTGGGACACCCCCATCACAACCAAGCCTTTCCTGGGAGCGATGAAACAGCTGAGGGCACAGCGGGCAGATGCTGGCCACCACTGTCCCAAGCTGGGGCTCCCGGCATGAGGCCACCTCCTCCACACCCCACCCCAGCCATGATGGCACGAGCCCCTTCCACGAGCGCAGAATCTGCACACGTGCCTCAGGGCAGGAATCTGAATTCGGGGAAAAACATGACTCAATCTGGTAAAGAAAAAGGTAACGGTAATTTTCCAGAAGATGACCAGATACAGTGTAAATCCCAGGACCCAGCATCAAAGGTCTTTGCGCAAATCAAGCCCAGGTCTCTGGTGCCAGGATGCTATTCTCGGGGCGCCTGGCTGACCTCCCTGCAGCAGTTTCCAACTTCGAGAAAGCATGGCCCATCCCTAATCCTCAGCATGGTCACCTGGCCAATCCCAGTCGTCCACCTCAACTGTGTTTGTCAGGGACAAATATTTAGATGTTCTATGCATCTGTGGGGTAATCGGAGTGTTCGCAGTCTGGAGG